CCATACTCTGGTCCCAAATTCACCTGGACAGGTAACAGGTCAAATGGAAGAGTGTGGAGAAGATTAGATAGGGTTTTATTCAATAAAAAAATTTTGGACATATTTGATAATATTCAGATATCTGTCTTGAATAAAACTCCTTCTGACCACAGTCCAATTGTTATTAATTGTGCCAATATTGGTATGTCTGGTCCTAAAAGCTTTAAATTTCAGAATATGTGGATAAAGAGTGATTCATTTATGCAAACTGTTGAAAATAGTTGGAATTCTGGGGGTACTCAAGGGGGTATGAGAGGGCTGGTTCTCAAACTTCAAAATCTTAAAAAGGTTTTGAAAATTTGGAATAAAGAACAGTTTGGTGACATTTTTGATTCTGTGAGGAAGTGTGAAGAAGAGGTTCTTAAAGCAGAAATGGCCTTTGAGGAGAATCCAGTTGATCATCTAAGAGAAGAGTGGTTTCATAAAAAAGGGCTCTTAACTCAGAAGTATAATTTGGAGAAAAAATTCTGGAAGCAGAAAGCGCATATTAACTGGCTTAGGGATGGAGACAGTAATTCTATGTTCTTTCACTCCTTTGTTCAAACAAGAAGAAGGAAGCAATGTATTACTGCCATCAAGAACAAAGCAGGTCAGGAGGTTACCACTATTTCTCAGATTGGAGAGGCTGCAGTTGATTTTTTCAAAGACCTGTACACAGAAGAACAAACAGAAGGTAATGAGATTTTTGATTATATTCCTAATTTGATCAATGCTGATGATAATGCTGATCTTACCAAGCTTCCTGACATGGATGAGGTTAAGTCAGCTGTTTGGGAATTAAATCAAAACAGTGCTCCAGGTCCAGATGGATTTCACGGAAAGTTTTTCAGAAAATGCTGGTCTTTGGTTAATATGGATGTTCTAAGGGCAGTGCAGGAATTTTTCTTGGGGGTTCCAATACCCAAAAGCATGGCTAGCTCACTTCTAGTTCTGATTCCAAAATCTGACAGGCCGTCTACTTTCAGTGATTTTAGGCCCATTTGCTTGTCAAACTTTATTAACAAGATTTGTACTAAAGTGTTGGCTACCAGGCTTAAAGTTGTTTTACCCAGAATTATTTCCAAAGAGCAAGCTGGTTTTATGGCAAATAGAGACTATGCAGATCAAGTTCTTTTAGCTCAAGAGATGGTTCATTGCATTGATAAGAAGATAAGGGGTGGAAATCTAATTGTGAAGCTTGATATGACTAAGGCTTTTGATAGAGTTTCTTGGCTTTTTCTATCAAATATATTGCTGAAGTTTGGTTTCTCTTCTCACTTGGTTAAGCTTATCTTAAATAATCTTAAAGCTTCATACTTTTCAGTCTTGATCAACGGATCACCTCAAGGGTTTTTTAAGCCTTCTAGGGGGGTTAAGCAAGGAGACCCCCTTTCTCCTTTCCTATTTATAATAGCATCTGAAGCTTTTTCCAGAGGATTGAACTGTTTAGTGGAGAAAGCTAAAATTAAACCCTATTGGATGGGATCTAAAGGTAGGGCAGTTTCACATCTGGGTTATGCTGATGATCTTCTAATTTTTTTGAATGGGGATGCTAGATCCTTGTTGAGATTTAAAAACTTTCTGAATACTTACCAGCAGGCATCAGGGCAAGTCATAAACTTCTCAAAGAGTTCCTTTATTTGTGGAAAAATTTCTCTGGCCAGGCAGAACAGTATCAAGGAGTTGCTAGGGATGAAATTGACTTCTCTGCCTATGAAATACCTTGGAGTCAACCTGCATAAAGGTATAAACAGGTTTGAATACTGCAGCAACATTATTAATCAATTTGAGAAGAAACTTTCTCCATGGAGGCAAAAAAATCTATCTCAAGCTGGAAGACTTATTCTTATCAAATATGTGTTGAATTCAATTCCTCTCCATTTATTAGCAGTTGATACGTTGCCTAAAAAGGTTGTCAAGGTGCTAAATAGTAAAATGGCATCCTTTTTTTGGGGCTCATCCAGTGACAAGCCTAAATACCATTGGATAAAATGGGATAAATTATGCTATCCAACTCTAGAGGGTGGTCTGGGAATCAGGTCTTTGGCTGATTTGCAAAAAGCTTTTTCTCTTAAGCTATGGTGGAAGTGGAAGGCTGAGGATTCTTTATGGTCTCAAATCATGAGGCTTAGGTATGAAAGGGATGGGAATATGATACCTAAAATTACAGACTCACCAATTTGGAGAAGAATTTGTTCAGTCAATAATCAGGGCCTTGATCTCAGCACTGTGGATCCAAATGGTAATATAACCTGGAATGAAGAAGTTGATGGTCAATTCTCATTCAAATCAGCTTATGAAGAAGTTAGAGAGCTGGGTTTTAATTCTATTATCTATGAGCAGATCTGGGATACAAAGCTTGAGCTCAAAGTTAAATTACTTCAGTGGAAGATCTCCAAAGGAATTCTGCCTATCTCTGATAATCTTAACAGATTTCAGCAGGTTTTACAACCGTCTAGGTGTCCTTTTTGCAAAAGACATAGTGATGCTATGAAACATTTATTTTTTCAGTGCACTACTGCAAAAGAGGTCTGGTTTTATTTTCTAAGCATCTTCAGAATTTATCAACCCCCGGGTATGGATTATAGTAGATACTGGTGCTGGAATTTAGGTAGGAAAACAAGCACGTTGGAAGACATGATTAAGCAGAGCATTCCTGGAATCATTTGCTGGAAAATTTGGAAGAATTATGCTGAGCAAATTTGGGGGAATGGGGTGGAAAATATCAACTCCAGGAGCATTATTATTCAAGTTAAACTGTATACTCAAAATTGGGTGGCTAGTTTATCTATCCCCAAGATTCGAAATATTAGCTACCATCTGGTTGAAGAAGGCTTAGTTCCTAGAAATTATAAACTCAAGGGTTTCAAATCTTCGATTATAAGGTGGAACAGGTCTAATACTATGTGGAAGCTTAATATAGATGCAAGTTACTTAGCTGACAGAGCAAATGGAGGTGCCATTATGCGCGACCAGAATGGAGCTATGGTTGCTGCGATTAGCTTCCCTGTCCTCGCGACGTCACCTTTGGAAGCGGAGGTTCTATCCATTATTCATGCTCTCCGATGGGCGGTGAACGCAGGTCACAAAGCTTTTATCGTTGAATCTGATTGTATTTTGGCTTTGGATTATTTGGAAGGTAAGAAAGGTAGAAGATGGTGGAACGAGATTCAGGAAAGTAAGGAGATGATATTCAGACATAAGCTTCAGTTGGGTCATGTAAAACGGGAAGGGAATTGGGCCGCCCACTATTTGGCCCAATTTCGGACTGACAGAGATATTATTTTCAGGAACACGGGTCAACTCCCTATTATGGTCAAACGGGCCTATTGGATGGATTATTTTGGTATTCCGTCATTTCGATTGTAATTTTTTCTTTTGTTTTTACTTATCCAGGTTTCTGGTTCTTTTTGTAATGGGACTAGTTCATCTTAATAAAATCTCGGTAAATGTCCCCCGGCATTTACCCCACTGATTTTGGTGGTTGACTTTCCGGGGTAAAAAAAAAAAAAAAAAAAATTTGGGGACAGTGTTACAAGTCCTATTGGAAACATACCTATTTTTCATTCAATTCTTACCCCCTCCTTAATTCCTTTAAATATGAGTAAAAGATAGTCAAAAGTCATAAGTAAATGTTTAATTCATAATAAATTCGAAAAAATTTCCAAAGTTCGTAGAAAAATAATTAAAAAATTAATAAAATACTTATAAAATAAAAAATTAAAAAATCTAAATAATTAATAAAAAATAGTAAAACTCCATATAAAAAATTAAAAAATATATGGATGCCTTTTCCACTGTCTGTACTACCTCCCTGCATCACCACCTCCAACCGGTGTAAAAAATGCCATTTTTTCTAAAAACTGCCTTTTTTTAAATGCCAAAACAATGGCATATTTATATGTGAGAATAATGTTAACATTTTCATTGTTTTTTGCCATAAATATGGCATTCGTAATGACTTTGACATTTCCCCCCCAGGTGACTGGAGGTGGTGGTGCTGGGGCGGCAGAGGCGACGGCGTTTTTTTTTTGCATTTTTTTTTCAATTCTTTTAAAATTATTATTATTTAAGGATAATTTTTATTCTTTATCCTTTTATTATGAATTAAAACATTTCAATAGATATAAGGGTATATTTGTCCAAGACACACATAATTAGTCCTGCGAAAACATAGTTTATTTTTTGGTCTTGTTTGTGCAAAGTGGGTGACTTTTAGTCCTATTTGATAATTAACCCTAGGGGTAAGGGGTAAGCAAAAATATTGAACTGACATGGTACCGAACCGGATCGGTATGGTACCGGACTGATAAACGGGCTTTGAAACGGATCTCAAAATCTTTTGTCCCGGACCGTACCGGTTCCAAACAATGTCATGACCGGTTCTCATAAAATGAGAAGCGGTACCGGACTGAACCGGACCGAAGTTTAGTTTATTAAATTTGTACTACTATAGTTTATCTAAAATATATTAATTACCTCATCCGTCTCAAATTGATTTGCAAAGCTAACATTTTTTTTGTCAAAGTTAATGTTAAGTCCTCCCTAATGACAATTAATACAATTTTTAATAATTAAAATTTACATGTTTAGAAACCACATTAAAATCTCTCTAAAGTTGCAAAATCCAAATTAGAATATACGAAGTACAAAGTACTTTTTTGAAAGGCCAAATTAGAATATAATTAAAAAGTGAAATCCTAATTAAGTGAATAAAAAAAATTGTTTGACCAAAAAAAGTTTGACTTTGCAAATCAATTTGGAACGGAGATAGTATGAAATATGAAAAATGATAAATTGTGTGGATTTTTGGAGCATGGTTAAACTTTAATTTTTTCTTAAACACCTTGAAAAAGTGACATTGTTTGGTATTAATATGACATGATACCATCCGTTTGAAAATGGACTGTACCAAACGGGTTTGGGTCTAAGACCAAACTGTATCAAACTGTTTCAATAATAACGGTAGTGGTACAGGTTCGGCCAAATATTAGACTGGAGAGGAGCGTGCTCACCCCTAATTAACCCATAATCCTACTACACTTGAATCTCCCGCAGAACCCTAGTTAACCCCTCAATAGGAGCAGGAGTCTGGCTTTCAACCGGGCACACTGAAGTGGAAATGAAGCTGAGAGTATAGACCACAGCCGCAAACAGAGTACTTTCGAATGAAATGAAATGAAAGTGATGATGAATTGTAAATCCGCAGCACTATGGTCCCGCGTAATTCTCAACCAACTCCGACTAATCACTGCATCATCGTCATCAGCTGTGGGAACATCCAAGCTGCTGCGGCCATCATCGAAGTTTCCTGCAGCTCCACGATTCTTCTCATCGAGGCAGTCACAGGGAAACTTTGACAGTTTTCTGTTCCAGGAACGTAGGGATCTGCTCAAGGAGAAGGAGGAGAGGTTAAAGCAGGGATTGGACACTGCCGATCTCGATGCTCGTGCCGCAGAGCTCGACAAGCGCGAGGAGAATATCAAGAAATCTTCCTCTTCCTACGAAGAGCCCACGGACTCAGATTCGGATGATGACGATGAACAATGGGGCGCTGAAGCCCTGGATAGACGATGGGTTGTATTTGAGAAGAAGTTCGAGCGCCATGAACAGCTCCTTAAGAATTTCACTGATGCCGGTATGTACATAGCATAACACCCTTCTCTTATATATTGCTTCTGTTGTACTTCATGAAGATATCTTCAATTGACAGTTTGTCTAGCATAATGTTAAATCTTCCGTATTTCTCTTCACACGATTCCCTTCACACGTATTCCTCCTAGTACACTATTCCGAATATGGAAATCCCTCTGAAAACAAATACCCTTCAGTTTTTTACAAGTGATTATGTTGCTTGAGTAGTTCATTAATGGGCTATGTGTCTTATGGATCACCATGCAATTGCTTTGATCAGAGACTCTTGATGAAGCACACAAATGGATGAGTAGAATCGATAAGTTTGAGCAGAAGCATTTCCCTCTTAAATCAGAGTACCGCGTGATTGGTGAGCTTATGAACCGCTTGAAAGTGGCTGAGGGTAAAGAAAAATTTTTACTCCAAGTGAAGATAAACCGGGCACTTAGGATGGTCAGATGGAAGGAAGCCTATGATCCGAATGATCCAGCCAATTATGGAGTCATTCAACGTCAAGTTGTTGGGTCCTCTGTTGATGCTTCTGAGCGAGTTGAGTTTGATGAGGAAGATAAGAAGGCTAAAGGAGCACAACATGATAGTGATGATGAGTTAGAGTTTGATGACATGAAAGAAAGGGATGATATATTGTTGGAGAAGCTTAATACTATTGATAAGAAGCTTGAAGCAAAGCTGGCAGAACTGGAACACACTTTTGGGAGGAAGGGAAAGCACCTCGAGGAGCAAATTAGAGATCTTGCTGATGAGAGGAACTCTTTGACTGAGAAGAAGAGACAGCCTCTCTACCGGAAAGTACGTTCTTTTCCAGTTTTCACACTCCATGCGTTTGCAAACCCTAAGCTGTTTGACCTAGGAAAAAAGATTGCTTAGTTGTTTTTGAATTCTTCTTCTGAGATTTTCCATTAGCTTCATCTTCATATTTAGTGATGTACCAATGTTTATGTGGTTCCATGATGTTATATATTTTTATTTTTAAGACTTCCATATCCAATTTGTAGGGATTTGATGTGAAACCAATTTGTGTCAATAAGACATACAAGGTTACAAAGGTAATGGCATCATTCTTTTTTTAATGTTGTCTCTTTTCTTGTGCCATTTTTGTCAATGATTCATTCTGAAATCACACACAGGGGGGGAGAATCATGAGGTACACTGCTTTGCTAGCCTGTGGGAACTACAATGGTGTCATTGGTTTTGCGAAAGCAAAGGGTCCAGCAGCCCCTATTGCCATTCAAAAGGTACACAAAATATTACCCAAGTATTATTCAGATGAAACAAGAAACCCAGTTAGTTCATGTGTGTTACCTCTCTCTCAATCTACTTGTTCTTTTATGTCAATCAGAGGTTCTGCTTATTTTCACGACATAACCTGATTTTAAATTTACATGAGTTGTCCTGTTTAAGTCTGGTAAAATAACAATTTTGAATCTCAGATATATCTGCACAAGAGTATAGATTGGAATTTTGCACAGCCATACCACTCTAGTGCTAGATTATTTCATTGATAAACAGTTTCAATTTAGTCAAGTTTACAATCAGTCATTTAGAGGACACTGGTTTAGAATACTTGTATTTCTGTGCTTTTAGCAGAGAGCCATGACACTACAACAACTATGCATTTTGTTTGGAGAGAAAAAATGATCACAATTACATGAGCTGTTACAAACTAAGCAAGTAAAAAATGATTGCACAGTTGGTTGAGCAAAGAGCCAAGGGTAACTAAGACAAGTCACTCACAAGTGGTGAGGTTGAGAATACCAAGAAGAAATTTCCTTTTCTGCTGAATTTCATTGACAACTGGTCTTCATTCACTTGAATACAAATATCTAATAAACAACCCTTTTGAAAAAATTATTTATGTAACTGAATGTAGAAGTATAAATTATAATATTATGCGAAATTCAGTCAATCAATTGCTTAACAGGATTATTATGTAACAGGCATATGAGAAATGCTTTCAGAATCTCCATTATATTGAGCGGCATGAAGAACATACCATTGCACATGCAGTCCAAACAAGTTATAAAAACACTAAGGTGCAGGGTTCTCCTGTTCTTGTTCCAAATTCCAATTCAATTAGACATTAGGTGTATAAGCTGAATGCTTAAGGTGTGTCTTCTCGCTTTGGTATTTTTATCTTTGAAAATCTTTTTGGTGTTGGATTTTCTTCAGATCTATCTCTGGCCTGCACCCACTCAAACAGGAATGAAAGCAGGCAGAACTGTTCAAACAATTCTAAATTTGGCTGGTTTCAAGAATGTGAAATCAAAGGTTTTTAAAAGCTTTACTCTACCACTCAATTCAACATTGTTAAATAGTTGTTCTGACATATATCTGCTTTTAGGTTGTTGGATCAAGGAATCCTCATAATACAGTTAAGGCCATATTTAAAGCTCTAAATGCAGTAAGTTAAATGCTCACTTTATAAAAAACTATAAGTTGGACACTATCACAATCTTCAGTTTTCTCCCCATTCTCTTACCAAGTTTCACATTTCCAGATTGAGACACCAAAAGACGTCCAAGAGAAGTTCGGTCGTACTGTTGTTGAGTCATACCTGCTACAATAGGTATGGTTGAAGTTGTCTTTCATTAATTATTATTGATGCGGCAGTCTTTGTGATGAAGATGCTTAAGATATGTACCAAACAAATAACAAAAGTATGGTTTTTTTATACTGCTATGTTGTAGTAAAAAAGCTAAGAAACAGTCCCCTTTCCAACCTATTTACCAATATTAATCCCTTGTTTTTATTTTCGGTAGTGTTCATTCATCATGCTTTGTACTGCACGATAACCTTACTTCTGACCATTGTAAATACAAAGCCGGTTTGGTAAGGGGGAAATTTAGCTAGTTTCTGAAATTGTGATTGAATTAGCTGAATGAGCAGTTTCAGCAAATAATGCAACTCCTGAACTGCTCCTTTCTACTCCTGGGCAATAATGTTGTCAAATAAGCTATTGTGTTCTACGAAGCTAATAAGCAAAAAAAATCTTCTGCCAAGCAGGCACATAATGTTTCCTTGCACAATATAGTGAATATTGTAGTACTCTTAGTGCTTCAGTTGCACCGCATGATGAAGTTTATGTGCTTTGGTAGGCATTGCAGAAAAACTGATACTTGCATGCTCCAAAGGTGATGCATGCAGAACTACTGCATTCTTCATGAATCATGAGCATACATGTCCTCCATCTAATTTATACGTAGTATTTTCTTTTGCTTTTTGGAGTTGTAATTTCTTAAAATGGGGGTTGTAGCATGTAGGTTACTTCAATTGACTATTTGAGAATTGAGAATTTGTGGAAATGTATTTATTTTTTCCCAAATCCTATATTTAATTGGTAGTAAACATTATGGCACATTGACACATGTTTATTTGTAATTCATTGTTGGCGATCTAGAGAAAGTAAAACATGTAGTGCTAATAATCTGAAGATGTTACTACAATCTAAAGATCTTACGAATGCTAATGTGGTCTATTGCTTCGTGTAATTGTTGTATTATTCTTGCACCCATAACAACAAAACAATGAAACATGGTCCAGTGTCACTCCAGTCTATTCACGTGTCTCTGTTCGAGCTCTCAAAAAGTTTTTAGTTTTCTGGCGTATAATGTTTGAAGCAAGGTTGAAGTTGGTATTTTATAAAGTTATTATTAGACATTTTCTACAGTAAATAAAAACAGGCTTCGCTATATTCATACTTTCCAAGTAATTCTGAAATTTACGAATTACATTGATCATCGTGTATTCGTGTAGATCATTTTTTGTACAAAATCCGTGCATCATGAGGAATTTCTACTCTTATGACCAAACACGAAAGTAAAGGGAGTATAGCTAATGAGGTGTAAAGTCTATTACGCTTCCGCCCATAAGATTGTCACATTTTACCTTTTCGAGAAATCGCACTAAAATTGTTTCATACCAAATTTGAGGTGTAGAGTGTATTATTTTTTTCTTACTTTATCAATTTAATATTAATCACGTAAATCCATTACCTTAATATTCGTGCCACATTCTCTTGTCTCAATGTTAGTGGGATGGAGGTAGGCCTGGACTTGGGCCGGTTCGGGCCTGTGCTCGGCCGGGCCTCGGTTCATGTAACCCCCGAGTCTGGGTCGGTCCGGGTCTCGGTTCAATTAATTTTTTTTGGCTTTTCCTAATTAACCCCCAACCCTCCTCCCTCACCCCCAAACCATCTCAAATGGTCCAAAATACCCAGCCCAACCCAAAAACTTAAAAAAAAAATGAAAAAAAAAATTGGCCCGGACCGGGCCCGAACCGGCCGGGCCGGTTCACCTTTTGATGGCCCGAGCCCGGACCGGAACCCCAGCGGGTCGGGCCTACCCGGACCGGTCCCTGGCCGGGCCGGCGGTTTGGGCCGGTTCAAACAGTGACCGGTTCGGGCCGGTTCCGGGGCAGGCCGCCCGGCCCGAGTCCAGCCCTAGATGGAGGTAGTAATACATTACTTCAGACGACTTTGATCATTCAGACGACTCTTTCTTTTCAGGCAATTTTTTAGGACATGCAACCTAAAGTTATCGTCGCCCCCCTATATCGAACCAGGAGGTCCAAGAAGAAATTAAGAATTCCAAGGTCAATAGATTGATTTGCCGTAAATCAGAGTTGGTCACCTTAGAAAACTACATGCCAACAGAAAATCTAAACACACAACTCAAAATCTACAACAAATCTCAGAAGAATAAAAGACGTCACAATATGAGGATCAGATCACAGTCCAGAGATTATTTCCATTGGGTCTAGTTTTTATATTTATGTATTATTCCTCTTTCTTTTGTACGAAGTACTTTTTTTCTATCTTCTTGAATTGTAATTTTTACTTTATTTTATGAATAAAATCGTTTTTCTTTTTAAAATAAAGTGACATTGGACGGACCGAAAAGTTAAAATGAGACAATTTTAGCGGGATGGAGGGAGTACTAATTATTACATATTTTATGTGAAACTACTTGTTTTTATATTACACAATTCGGTGTGATATTAAAATTACATTTTTTGTGAAAAAAAAAATAATTGATAATACCAATAAGCGAAAAATAGAGTTGCCAAATGACTTTATAATCAATCATTTGGGCATACATATTTTAAGAAAAAGGTCATATAAATTCATTTTCTTAGAAACAAACCATTTAGTCAAATGGTCTGAAAATGAACGTTTTTATTGTGGTTTTCGTTGTTTTCTACGAGTATATGTTTATAAGTTCATCTTTTACCATTTGTACTCTCTTCATTTTCATTCATTTTCTCCTTTTCCCTATTTTTCTATTTGTCTTCTCCCCTATCTCATTTGCATCTCTTTTTCTCTCTCCATTTTTGCTTCTTGCGCTTGAGTAAATCAAATTGAAACACTGAACTTTGAGAGATTTATTCCTTAGTTGTATTATCGTATATCGATCAGTTTGCTTTCGTTATTATGCATTGTAGGTTACAAATTCGTGTTTTTAATCCGTATAATTTAATTAGTTCTCAATATTTACTTGATAATCATTTTTGAATCTTAATGAACCAATGTTTTGATTTTGTGCCAAAGGAAAAAGCGTGTTTTTCTATGAATCATTATAATTTAGGAAAAATTGAAAATAATAATCCCAACTATTGTCGGTCCGCTGAAAATAATCCTAACTATTGATTATTTTTGTATAATCCCAACTATATAGGCTATCCGCCAATAATGGTCCATGACCATATATTACCTCTATAAAAAGTGAATTTTAAATAGAAATTAAGCGTAAAAATTAAAAGTTGAGATTATTTATAGGGATTACTTGTTATATCTTATCTCATCCACTTTAGAAACTACAAGAATTTATTCATAGGGACCATTATTGGCGGAAGGTCCCTAAAGTTGGGATTATTCTGTAATAATCAATAGTTGGGATTATTATGAGCGGACCGCCAATAATTGGGATTATTACTATCAATTTTTCCTATAATTTATAACAAAAGTTCTTATGCTAAAAGTACTATTTAACTCCTTTAAACTACAGTGTCACTTATTCAACTTCTCTTTTAAGTACATTTATTCATGTGATGTGACTTATGTGGTACAAATTTTAGAGGGCTTTTCAAAAATATTATTAATAAAAAATTAATGGATAAGAATTTGAATATAAAGTTATTATGTGTAAGTTTCATAGTCACTATGATGTAACATATAAATACAATTATAATCACTAAAATTATCAAAATTGCATTTTTTCACTGCTTTTTATTTTGATTATATATTTGGAATTACTTCTTAATCTTATTAGCATGCATTATCATTGATATAAAAATATGTCTCCAACATAATCCAAATACTACAAGTTCTACAAGTGATTGTAGGTAAGAGAATTTTCAAAGTGGGTATTAGATATGTGAAATGAAATACATTAGAGTGAATATAATAGTCACTTATGGTATGACAAAACAACAATTCTCAAGATCAGTTGTTACACAAGATTGAAGTATATTTATTGAGACCAGCTTTTAGTTATGGTCCATGGGGCAACTATTTATGGCGTTGTTGAGAGTTCAAAGCAAATGTGATTTAAAAACTCTTGATTCATGATAAGGACGATAAATAGTTACATTGCCACCAAAAAGGTTTTCCAAAAACCTCTTACAAGTTAGTTTCATAGCTTCATTCGCCTTTGCTAATAATATTCATTTATATGTATATGTTCAAATTAATCATGTAAATTACTTTTATCTAATCATCTTTTGAATTCATATACGGGGTAATTTGAGTTTGCATCCCATTTTATTGTGCAAATTGAATTTTGCATCCCGTTTTTAAAAAACTTTGTTTGTGCACCTCAACCCCATATGAAAAGACAAAAATGCCCTTCATTAACAATTTTGTTGGCGTGGTGGACTGGTGGTGACACATGGTCGTGTCCTAAATGCTAAGTGAGTCAGTTTCAATTCTAAAACAATGAGAGTCCCTCATGTAGGGAGAGTCCCCCAGCTATACGCATGCTACATGGAGATGGTTGGTTGTTGCTGGGAGGAGCCCTTGTATTAAGATGAGGCGGGGACGAGGAGCGCGGTGGATAAGGTGTCATGGGTGGTCCCCACTTCCCATCCATCGGTGACCCTTGGGTGCTCATTTGTTGTTGTAACATAGACGAGGTGTGTCATGTGTGTGACCGGCTGACCGTGATTGTTTGGGCCGAGTCAGAGTCTTCTCTTGAGGATGTAGATTATGGGTCCATGATCATATACTTTATCAAGATTCTTTCACTCCCTATACAACAATAACAAAAACGTTCAAGTCTTGTTCCCAAAAGATTTTGGGGTCGACTTACATGACTCGGTTCATAAAAGAGAAGAAAAATAAGAAAATTAAAAAGATAAACTAAGATAAAATGTACTACGTATAAGATAAAGATAAATATAAAATTAAAATAATATTAGAACAAAAGAAAGATAACACATAAAAAGACAAAAGAGCATACGAAAGATTAAAGATAAAAATAACATAAGAACATGCACAGATAAAATATATATAGAAAAAGAGAGAGATGAGAGATAAAAGAGATCAATCGTCCACATTAATATGCGTTCTCCACTTTGCCCTCTCCAAAGCCACACTCTCATTCAACCCAAGAAGAAGCATACCTGTTTTGATTCCTCTAATCCGGGTCGAATCAGATTGTCGAAAGTGTTTGAGGTGAAAGGGAGTAGCTCATCCCTTGATCTTGATTGTCACCAACTTGTTTTAGTGCGGATCCTCTCTATTGAAAGAGTAGTATGTGTAACTGTATCTGGAGTGTTAGAATGCCTCAGCCAACCACATGTTTTCCTTAGTAAAGCCCTTGGCTAGGGCAATCTTATGGGAGAAAACCCTAACCGAAACATGACAAATTGACAATTGTAGTATGAATCTCTTCTACTTATGGAAAGTAGTCAACTGCTTAGAAGTTGTTCTCTTCGCCTGATCTGAATGTTTCTGATATGAATTTTTTAAGTTCTGATCTGATCTGATATGAATTTCTCTGATCTGATCTGATCTGAATCTGTCTGATCTGATCTGATCTGAATCTTTCTGATCTGATCTGATCTGATCTGAATCTTTCTGATCTGATCTAAATGTTTCTGATCTGGTCTGATCTGATCTGAATGTTTCTGATCTGATCTGAATCCTTCTGATCTGATCTGAATCTTTCTGATCTGATCTGATTTGAATATTTCTATGATTATAATTATAATTATAATTATAATTATAATTATAATTATTATAATTGCAATTAGAAATATAATTTAAATAAAATTATAATTATAATTGTAATTATAATTACAATATTTATCTCTATAATTGTAACTATAGTTATCAATATTATTATAATTACTCCGTAAAATAATTACAATAGTAATAATAATAATAATAATAATAATTATAATAAAAATAATAATTATAATCATAAATTATAATATAATTATAAGTATAATTATAATTATTATAATTATAATTAATAATAATTATAATTATATTAACATTAATTATAATATTATAATTTAATAATAGTAATATAAATACAATTAATATTATTATAACGATATTATTATATTAATATTTTATTATTACAATAATATAATAATATTATTATTACAATAATATAATAATAATATGATTATTATTATAATTAGTATTATGTTATTATAATATTATATTATAATTATAATTATAATCATAATTATAATTACGATGGTAATTATAATTATAATTATTATTATTATAATTATAATTAATTACAATTATATTTATAATTAATTATAGATATAATTATAATAATTACAATTGATTATACTTATAATTATAAGAATTATAATTACATATAATTATAATATAATATTATAATAATATTAATCATATTATTATTATTATTATTATTATTATTATTATTATAATATTGTAATAATAATAATAGTCTTCTTAACAATTGCATTTATATTACTATTATTATATTAAAATATTATAACTATTATTAATATCTTTTTTTATCATATTATTATTAATATTATTAATAATAATTATATAATAATAATAATCATAATAGTAATAACAATATTAATAATAATAATAATTAATATTTAATATAATAATAAAAATGATAAATCATGTTTGAACTTTTCTGATCTGATCTGATCTGAATGTTTCTGATCTGATCTGAATGTTTCTGATCTGATCTGATCTGATCTGAATAAAATAAGAATAAGCAATAAGTAATAAGAATAAGACGAACAGAACAGCACCTTAGTCTGCTCTGAACACACACATGTGTGCATGGACATAATTCAATAAGTAGAAACGTGATTGACTTGAAAAATCAATTGCGGTTTTTTAATAGAGTAATTGTCAATTGAGAGAGAATCGATATAACTCAAATTGGTGCCCCAATTTCGGCGTGGGACCGGATAAAATTTTGAGCTTGAGCGCATGTTAGAGATTCCCTACCTAAATTGACGTGGTTGTTTATTTTTTCTATCAAGCCCTATAATAATTTTGATGTTTATTTCTCTTCTGATTTTTGTTTGAACTAAGTGATGTTTTATATACTAACAAACATCTTGTCAATTAATAATGTTACACACTAACAAATATATATCCCATAATTGGTTAAAGAATTGGCTAAATAGTGATTAAAGTCTCATTTACATCCTCCCAGTTAACCATCCGGCTGGTGCAGGGTCACTCAGGGATGTGGTGTCATACTTTTTTAAACAATTGGCTTAATATACTTTTAAATAGGCATTTTGGGAAGGAGTAATGTATCACGATTTAAATACTAATTCAATTTTAGAAAACAAAAACAAAAAAAAAAGACTAATTCAATGTTGGACTGATTGGAAAAGCAATATGGCAATTTGAATGTGGAGGATGATGAGGAAGAGCTAGCTTTTGACAAGGCAAACACTTATGTGGACTAGGCCTCTATGTCAGAGGAGATAACGTCAGTGAATGAACGAGTTGTGGCTGAGAGTTTGTATCGGTTCTGGATCATGCAACCTTGGTTGGTCGCTCCGACGGTGGTGGAGTTAGTATTCACCTATATGGCTATATTGCAAAAACTCATCATCCTCCGGAACCCTCCGTACCAGGAAGAGTTTTGAGGAAAGAACTTATTTCAATATTATTTTGTCTTTAGGAGTACTTGTTTTTATATTAGTCCAAGTAGGTTTGGTATGGATGCTTGGATTTTTTGTGTTCTTTTGATAGGCAGGGTTTCAGTTCCGGTCGTTTGAGACCTAAATTTGCTCGTTTTAGGTTTAGCGAGTCATGTTGCTTTATATGAGGTGACTGACTCTATGTTTACTCCTAGGGTTCACAAACGAAACTGTAAAATTTGTCTGAAGGTTGTCTTGTATGTGTTCTCAATTTTAATATAAATGCCGCTCTTTTATGATAAAAAAAATTAAGTCATAAATAAGTATGGCTTAATGACTTTAATTAAGTCAATGTCCTAATGATTTTCATTAAATCATTAGTAAATACTCCTTATGTGAAAGGTATGGAATGAGTCTTACTTATTGAGTCCAAAGTTCTTTGGCATATAAAGTGGCCCTAATGGCCTAATCCTATTACCGCCCCCAAGTAGGGGTGGACCGATCATGTTCTAAACGGGCCGGTCCAAAGTTATATACATGGGTGCAAACGAGCCAAGACGAGTTCAAATTTGGGCATGCTAGCTAGAGTTCTAACCGTACATCCTTGCACGGTTATACTTGCACTTCCCAAAGCGAATCGATCCGGCCCAAAGCCCATTGAATAGAAATTAGAAAGTGAGGGAGAATTCCGAGTTGCAGTGGCGAGGGGAAACATTCTTGCTCACAACTCACACAAGGAAGCTTCAATGGCGTCGGCACAGCATATAGATGGTAAGTTCGCGACCCCATTATCCCTTTTGGAGAGCCCTTCACTATTTTAAAATTTATATGGTTGTATAGAAGTCCAAAAGTTTAAATAACTCTCTCTAACCTTATCTGTCCTCCTTTGCACCGCCTGTAATCGATGGTCTTCCTACACCATACTTAGCCACTCAGGAAACTAAATCTCCCAGTCCCTAAACCCGCACAGATTGTATAATGAGTTTGAAGTATTTTTAAAATGATCCATTGAATAACCAGCTTAAATGATCTTATTATTTTATTTAGGTCATCATTAACTCATTTCGTGATCAATCATATCTTTGGAGGGGTATTGTTCATAAATTTTATCTAGTAAACCTGACTACTGCTAGCTATTGTTTGAATTATATGAAGTTCCTTTGAATTATGTAGGTGAAGGAAACAGTGTGGTTGAAAATTCCGGAACGGCATCTGAAGCTGGCTGGTTCATCCTCGGTCAAGATCAACAACCAATTGGCCCCTATACTTCTGCTGAATTGCGTGGTAAATTGATGTTAATCTTTTGTCATCATTAGAGAGAAACAATGAACTCCTATTGTGTTAATTAATAAGAACACATCAAAGTAAATTGGAATACGTGCAAGTCTGCTCCTTCATGCTGTTGGATTTAAGCATTTTGGGTATTCTCTTATTGCATCTCTTTTCATTCATTTCCCAGATGCTTTCTTTTCTTCTCTCTTTTACGTGTGTGTAAATCTCATTGGCACTTCCAGTTCTACAAGTAGCCAATAATCAACTGTATCCAATGTTCAAATGGTCTTAAGAGGTAATGAACTGTGTTTGCATCCTTGTTTGATTCAACCGGACAGAGCATTATTCAAATGGGCATCTTTTGGAGAACACCCTTGTGTGGTCTGAAGGGTGGGATGATTGGAAGCCGCTGTATTCAATTCCTGGCTTGTTGGTGAATCCACCTCAACAGGGTTACACAAGTATGTGTAACTAAATGTATGTCTGAAGTGTTCTATGAACTATGGACTTCATATGAGGATCTTTTGGCAACTTCTGTATTTGTTTTGGGCAGATGGTGTGATGTCTGTTAATGTTGAAGATGAGTTTAAAAAGTTTCAAAAGGAGCTCAAGCAGGCTGAGCAAGAGATCAATGATGATACAGACAGACCATCCACCCCACCCGAGGGTGAAGAAGAATTCACTGATGATGATGGTACACATTACAAGTGGGACAAGGTTATTAGGGCTTGGGTTCCTCAGGTTGACTTTTTGAACCTAAACACTTGTTTACATGATTGCATAATGCAGCCACTCCCCTCATTCCAAAATAACCATCCTGTGAAGAAAATTTGCAGTTTTATGGTGATAATAATTCCTTTTCCTAATTTGACAAACTTGCCACTATTATTTTGTAGATATTAAAGGTAACAAGTAAAAATGAAATGTATATGGAGGGAAAATGGGAAATGTAGTCATTTTACTATGTTTTAATATATTGGTTTGCTTAATGGACATTTAATTTTGAACTACTCCCTCCGTTCCCAAAAATACTTCCCACTTTCCTTTTTGGGCCGTTCCCAAAAATACTTCCCACTTTCCCTTTTTGTACAATTTGTGTGACTCACATTCATTTTACCTTTTTCTTACACAATCACAACCATACATTTCCACTTTATTCCACTTTCTTAATAGGCGTGCCAAGTCGAACCGGGAAGGATTTTTAGGAACGGAGGTAGTATTTTCTTTAGTTAATGGACACTTATTTAAGAACAGCAGGAGTATCTTTTAAGGCTCTAACTTCGCTTTTTAGAAGAAAAATATTGACCTCTCTATGCGACTACAATTATATTTTGTGCATAATGATATATTATTATTAATTCATTATTTGTACAACTTTGTAGCATTAGCTATTTAGATTTTGTGTGTGATCTGGGTGCTATAAAATGATTAAATGAGACGCAACTCTAACAGGAAAATGAATCTGAAAGAAATATGTATGGTATGGAAGACATGGTTTTTGTCAAGGAGGATGAAGTCTTTCCAACCCTAGAAACAGATGATTTTCCCGAAAAGAAAGTTGAGGATAATGACAAAGGGAGCAGCTTTACTACTAGTCATGCTGCTGCTACTACTACTACAGAGGATATCAAGGAGTATACTGATACATCGAGGGAAACAAACAATAACAAGAGAAAGCTGCCTGAGGAAACTTCTGAAAAGAAGGTTACTATCTGCTGTCACCTATTTGATTGGTTTTTAGACTTGATCTATACTTTATTCTGCACTTGCTCAATTTGAACTTCCGATGGCACTTTCTTGTCACTCAGATGTGAAGAGGTGTTATATCTTTCTGAAATTACATAAAATCACTTTTCTCTATTGTTACTCTTGGTTGCATTTGCAGGAAGCCAATAAACCTCCAGATAGCTGGTTTGAATTAAAAGTGAATACTCATGTATATGTTACAGGGTTGCCAGAAGATGTTACCTTAGAGGAGGTAAGTTGTCCTTTGTTTAAAAACAGTTGTATGCTATTGCACATTGTATGCATGCTCTCATGATATCGTGTGATGTGTGTGTATAACATTTCTTCAACTGTTATAACATCGGTGATAGAGTTTATGAAAATGTGACCTTTTGTGCAGATTGTTGAAGTATTTTCCAAGTGTGGAATTATAAAGGAGGTTAGTGCTTCTGCATTTTTTTCGCTGTATAATAAACTTGAAGCTTTTATGCATAGATCTTTTGTGAGAGTAGTATGAGGTCTTTAATGACCTTGTACATTTATTGAATTACTTTCCAAAAATGTCCTTAACATATCCACTATTATTGCTAACTTATTAGATTTTGTTTTGCTGTTTTGTTTGCCACTTGTTGCATATAGTGTAGACCTTGGGACGCAAATTATAAGATTTAAGTTGCATGTTTGTGTCCCTTCTTTTAAAGTTACTCTTACTCCTTTTGTAGTTTTGGGGATAAGAGCAAAGTGTTGATTGATATTGTGAGAGGCTGAATGAATGTGTTTCTGAGGACTTAATATTGTCCCTTTCTGTCGAAGTTACTGCCTTCTGGGGATAAGTGAAAAGTATTGATTAATATTGTGAGAGGCAGAATTAATGTAGACATTATTTTCGTCAAGTTTAAGTAATCAGTAGCTTCTAAAATGAATTTAGCACCGTGAGTCTGATATTGGGTGCCTTGTATAGTTTGTGACACACTGACACCTCAACTTGATTTAGGCCAGGGTTGGAGCCAGGGTTCCCAGAAATTCAAAATTGATCTGGGCCAAACAAATAATTCATGCATATAAATTTTATCAAAAAGTTCTACATGTAGGAAGAAGTTAAACAAAACTCAGGTTGGGATGGGCTTGGAAATGCCCAATCCAGCTTCCTCCTCTGTTTTTTGCTCCTTGCTTGGACAGTAGGGTGTTTAGTATGTTGTCTGTGTGATGGTTTTGCACAAAAACTTCAGTCAAATGGTCTTCATGTAGTATCTTCTGCAAATGTAGGACGCAGATACAAAAAAGCATCGTGTGAAGATTTACGTTGATAAACAAACTGGAAGGAAGAAGGGAGATGCTCTGGTTACATATATGAAGGTTAGATCATGCCTTATGCCCAGGTAAATTTGGTGTGGCCTAACTTGATCTGTTCCTGTGATTAATCAAATTTTATTTTTCCTCAAACTGCATTAGGAAGCTTCTGTTGAGCTAGCTACCAAAATTTTAGATGGCGCACCACTACGGCCCGGAGACAAGATTCTTATGTCAGTTACACCAGCTAAGTTCGAACAGAAAGGTTTATAACATGACTATTTTATTTCATGAATTGAGTTGTGCATTACTTGGAAAGTAGCCATCCGTTCACGTAAATATTATATCAAATGATTTTGAAGCATGAATGCATCATATGTTTTCTCAGTCAATGCCTGCCTACCAATGATATGCATTATTTCGCAGGAGATAAATTCATTTCCAAGCAAATAGACAAGCAAAAAAAGAGGAAACTTCAAAAGGTGGAACATAAGATGCTTGGATGGGGTAGGTGCTTTCACATTTAGTTATCTAAAAATCTAGGGAAAACTGTCAATTTGGTCCTCGTACTATCACGAGAACGTCAGTTAACTCCTCCCACTTTTTAAAAATTCAATCAAATCCCTGAACTTTGAAAAAAAGTTCAATCCAGTCAATTAGCAGGTTACTTGCCATTACCAGGTCACCACATCATCGAAAAATGGCTGGCTAGGCTTCCATGTGTGCGCCACATCAGCGAAGCCACTGTTGGCTGGGCTGCCACGTGTGTGCCATGTCAGCAGGTGACTTGGTGACACCGTGACGTGGCAGGTAACCTGTCAATTGACTCAATTTAACATTTTTCCTGAGTTTGGGGATTTGATTGATTTTATTAAAAGCACGGGGATTTAATTGACATTTTCGTGATAGTACAAGGACCAACTTGGTAGTTTTCCCAAAAATCTAAATATTACTAGCTAGAGTGGACTGCACTTGGAAATTTAGAACTTTATTCCAAATCATCTTAATCTTGTCTCTCCGTCTGCATTAGGTGGTCGGGATGATGAAAAAGTTCTAATACCAGCTACTGTTATACTTCGCCATATGTTTGCACCTGCTGAGCTAAGGGTATTGCATCTCCATTTAGCGTTCAAATTTCTTTGCATCACTTGACCACTTCCAAAACTACTCTTTACGGAGTATTATATACTACGTATGTAATTGTAGTATTATGTGCATATATCTTTGTAACTTTTTCTTTTTTGGGATGCGGTGAGATTATGTGCCATATTAGCAATCCTCGGTCTAAACCAGCATGAGATCAATGGAGCCGGCCTATGGGCCAGTCCATAAACTTGGATTGAGCCGGTTTAAGGGCTCAAGCAATGTTCCGGTCTTTTTACCTGCTATCCAATCCTTTTAAAAGAAGTTCCCCTATTTTCTTATCTTTCCCCCCTATTTTCTTACCGATATATCTTTACACATTCAATTTCTCATGGTTATTCTTTAAAGAATGATTTATTGAATTTCACTTGTTCTTTTATACATGATTCGTGATTATACTTGATACATTTGACTTAGATATTGTTATCTTATGAATTATTTAACTCGTGCTTGAGTTAACGTGTGCATTTTTAAGCTCTAGTTTCACTTCGATATAGCGTTAGATGAACATTTATAGTACAGAAGAGTTTGCACTCTTTATTTTCATTGATATTTATGGGGTTTTCTCGAATGTGTCCATGAAGACATGAGGTACATACCATGATAAGAAGTTATCAATGATTATTTAATGCTGATAGTTTTCTTAAATTATTCTTGACAGTGGTGATAAATGAATATATTTTACTAATTTTAGTGATAATTGTATTGATTTCTAAATCATTTTTTTTGAAAGGGAAAGGGTGCAAGTATATCCCTAATGTTTACCCTTATTGACTTTAATAAATATCCCAAACTTTCAAGGGGTGTGAGATGAGTATCCCAAACTTGCACATGTAATATATATACCCCATACTTTATATAAAAAGTTCCGTTAGCACCATTAGTATATACGTAGTATTTTTTTCATAAATGTAATTTTATGGTGTTAAGTACATAATTTAAAATATACAAAACATTTATGAGGATGCAATTAAAATTAAATTTTACTGGATATAATATTATTTATTTCACAAATGAAATTTTAGAATGTTAATTGCATTCTAACAAAGCTTGGAGTATTTTAAATTATGTAATTATTCCAACAAATTTGTATTTGTTAAAAAACATACAATCATGGTGTGAAAATAACTATTACATCTATGAAGAGTACTGCATGAAAAAGAACACATACCTTGTTTAGTGCTGTGAGGGAGAGCTGAGTTTGCTTGAGATGAAGAAAACTGAAAGAACTGGCCGCTGTAGAGCAGCTTGAGTGTCAAGTGAGGAGAGTGAGTAGACTGAACAGCGATGATGGCCAGCGATGATAGCTGTAGTGTTTTATGCAAGTTTTTACGTACATGACTCTTGGTTTTACGGGTTTTACCTATTATTTAGATGGGCTAATTGTTATTAAAGATATGGGCTAATTATTTTGAAAGTTTTAAACCAAAAAAAGGCTGTCAGCCTTTTCCGCATCAGGCAACCCAGGCGTGCGCCTCCCTGCGCTTCATGCGCTTGTGCTGGAGGTCCTGCTCGCTGTTCCTTGTGCGCTTAAGCGCTGGGGCGAGTGCTTTTGACTCTACTGCATATTATTATGGTTGTTTCCATGAAATATTTCAATATGTGTTGAACAATGAAATATTAAAAAAATCATTTTGTGTTCAATGCTTCCTTTAATGTTAACTATATTGAATTTTGATTAAAAATAACAAGGAAGCATTGTACACAAAATGGAATTTAAAGTTTTTAACTTTTCATTTTCCAAAGTCAATATATTCATAAATTATTTTTGGTTTTTTATTTATTTTTAATATTTAAATTTTAAAGTCAATATGGGTAAATTTGGTGTTAAATATGAATTTTAATGATATTTTCGCATCTTTCAAAACCTTAGGGGCATATCTGCCCCTAGAGCTAAATATCAAGGGTATATTTGCACCTTTTTCCTTCTTGAAATGATCAAATCATTTATTGAAACTTCAAATTGAAGCACATTAATTACTCTTTATCATGTGTACTCTTGGGTACACATGAAAGAAACTCGTATGGTATCATATTTTCATGTCGGGTTTTCTAATATATTCCCGTGAACACATGTTAAGAAGCAATTATTGTGTATTTAATGCCTATAGTTCTCTTGAATTGGCTTTGATAATGGCGATGAATGTATATTTTTTTAGTAATAGTTGTATTGATCGTTTGCCGACCCCAAACTCTTTTGGGGCTAAGCCTTTGATGTTTTTTTTGTATTGGTCGTGCATGTATAATTTTTGAGAAAACAGGCAAATAAGCCCTCGAACTACTTGCGTTTTTGCAATCAGGCCCGTGATCCGGAAGAAATACAAATACACCCCTCAACTCATTGAAAATCAAGCAATCAGGTCCTTTTTTACTTGCTGATGCAGGTAAGGAGATGAGAAACTACTGACACCAGCGGGTAAAAAAGTACCTGATTGCTTGATTTTCAATGAGTTGAGGGGTGTATTTGTACTTCTTCCGGTTCAGGGGCCTGATTGCAAAAACGCAAATAGTTCGAGGGCTTATTTGCTTGTTTTCTCTATTAAAAAAAATTGTCTCCCTTTTTCTCGGTTCATGTTAGCAACCCCAAACTCTTCTGTGATCAAGGCTTAGATGTTTTTGATTTATTGGTCTTTCAAATCACATTTTTTATCTTGAATTTATCAAATTAGTTCTTGAAATGTGAGAATGAGGTACATTCATTGCTTCTGAACATGGGCCCATGACCACACATTAGAAAACCCTTTTATTATAGTATACTCCTAGCAAGTAGTTTTGCCACTGCTGCTCCAGTTTTAATAGCACAGATCAAAACATTGATCATGTGAGATTCTTGGGGGAAAATATAGACGTGCTTCATCATAAACCGTATGACAGTGTCTTTTACATTTTTAAAGATGGTCCATAGTCAAGTGTCCGTTTTTCATGGATTGCGTGTGGGTATATGAGCCAGCTGATTTTTAAAATGTGTTTTTTAAGTGAAGTGCTCATTTTATTGACCACAGGCAGATGAGAGTCTGCTACCTGAGTTGGAGGCCGATGTTAAGGAGGAATGTGCAAAACTTGGGCCAGTTGATTCAATCAAGGTATCATCTGCCGGTTAATTACAGATATTGTAATTTTCATGCTTGAGATAGTGTAGAGTATTATATAGAGTATATTTGGACCCTATAAATGCCAGAGAAATTTCTTATGTTTTGTTTTACCTTGAAAATGCTAAGGGAAATGAAATATGATTGATCTTTAGAAACATTTTCACTTGTGCTCTTAGTCATTATATAGTGAACAAAAATAATTGAATAAAGCATCAACAAATATCTAAAACAAATATTTAATTTTATTTTCCGCAATCATATATTTCAATTTCCCAGTCTTTTTAATTGTATGGGAAAAGGTGCAAATAGGCCCATGTACTAACAAAAAAAGTTCAAATAAGCCCTTATTTAGGAGGCTCTGTTCGGCCGTCGCCATTTGGGGTGGTTCCCGGTGGAATTTTTTGATGAAATTTTTTGAGCATCTTATTCATGAAGTCTAGTTTACGCATACCAAATTTCAGCTAAAACTTCAATCGGGAAGGCATTCAAATGAATTCTTGAAGATAACTGTGCTTCTAACTGCGCAGTTATTTTCAAGAATTCATTTGAATGCCTTCCCGATTGAAGTTTTAGCTGAAATTTGGTATGCGTTAACTAGACTTGATGAATGAGATGCTCAAAAAATTTCATCAAAAAATTCCACCGGGAACCACCCCAAATGACGACGGCCGGACAGAGTCTCCTATTGAGCTATTTGCACCTTTTCCCTAAATGTATTGAGCTTTAGCTTGTGAGCTTCTCCACATCTTCTATCAATCCAATTTCCTCTTATGTTTTGCTTTTTCTAATTATCCAACACCAGTTGTATCTCTTATTCTCACCATCATGAGCTTGGATGTTCTCTTGCAGGTATGTGAAAATCATCCTCAAGGAGTCGTTTTGATCAGATTCAAAGACAGGAAGGATGCCCGAAAATGCATCGAGTTGATGAATGGACGGTGGTGAGTTGACTTTCTATGGACTTTCATATTTAAACATTTTTATCTTAGAATGCACCCACCAACATGATGTTTCGATTGTTTGAAGGTTTGGGGGGAGACAGGTGCATGCCAGTGAGGATGATGGTTCTGTGAACCACTCTCAGGTTAGAGATTGGGATGGGGAAGCTGAGAGGCTGGAGAAGTTTGGGGCTGAGCTAGAAACTGATGATTGAGAGAAAGTTGAAGCACTGCCCGCCTGTGCCGATGGGTCTTCTGCCTGTCCCTCCATCCCATGTACAATTAAAGTGACTAGTTACTCTTGATTCTGTATATTACACTCCTCATGTTAGTTTTAGACTTAGACTGATGTGAAACCAAATTAGTTACTTCCCGTTATAATGTTATATTTCTCCAGGCTCTAGATATTGAACTTGACTTTTTTCCTGAATGAAAGAAAATAACGAAACTAAGAACTAGAGTTTTTTTGTTTTTTATGGAAGAATTAGAGCTTGTTTCATACTTCCTCCGTTCTTTAATTCTTGCAACATTGTGATTTTTGCAATATTCATAGACCTTACTTTGACCATGATTTTCTATTAATATACATAATCAAATTATTACGTATAAAATGTTATTGAATTTCTATCAATGTGAATTTCCAAAATATCAATTTTTTATAATGTTTACTAATACATGATTAAATATAATTACAGTCAAAGTTGTGCGTTGGCAAACGTGAAAGTCAAACTGTTGCAAGAATTAAAGAACGGAGGATAGTATTTTCAATGATAAGTGATTTTATTCATAGATCAGTTATTGTTGTAATTGACTAATATCAGAATCAATTTTTGTTTGGTTGGGTTTCTTGAAAAATGGTTTTAAAATGCTTTTTGCGTGGAAGTAATAACAAATTAACTCTTACAAGGTACGAGTGGGTTTTTTATGCAAACATGCTCAAAAGGATTAAAAAAAACTAGAATCCGGAGTCCGGACTAATGTGCTATAATCACAATTATTTGATTGAACCATTTTAACGTATCGCAGAGTTGCTGGGAGTTGGATTCGGATTTGCCGTTTTTTTGCTGGGAGCTGAGATTTTACCCACCTGCTTCAATACAGATCACTTCGAATGAAGGCTTTAGCATTCATAAGTTTAGTCATCATTTCTTATTTAGGGATGTTCTGTTATTGATTTTGCTTCTGCTTTTTTTTAGTAGATGTAGAATCAGAATTATTTTTTACCTCCCGACTTTGTAAAAACCGTTTCTACTTTCTAAGAGCAATTTGAACACTCAGAAGTACTTTTACATTTTCACTCAAACACTTCAATATATGTTTTCGCTCTGAAAGAGTAAATTAGTTTTAAGAAATAGATCTCAACACCCCCTTAATGGTTAGGTACTAATATTACAATCTAGTACAAATAGTAATATTACGGGTACATGAATATTTCAAACCTTTAGCCACTTTTCTTAGTTGAAACTAACCTCGCAAGGAATCTTGCTACCTTAAGACCGTTATTTCCTGGTCATCTAGTCATCAACTTCCTTAACCTTTCGGCATTGGGTAGTTATTAGCCCCCGTACATGATCTAGTGACTTTGTGGAGGTAAGAAATACTCTTAACCATATCAAATAAATGGTCAGAATTTTAAAAAACACCAAAGTTTGCATATTTTATGTGGAGCGTAGAATTTCAAATTTGAATTCAGTCCGATTATTATTATTGTTGTTGATATCATCATCGTGATCATCATCATCTTCACCATCATTGTTATGGTTGTTGTTATTATTACTACTACTACGCCTCCTCCCACTACTATTATGATACTACAGCATGGGTGAATTTAGCTTGCTCATTGCCTCACTCTAAACTTGGCAATAATAATCGAGTAATATTATCCATTACACCAACAAAAAATTTAAAAGTAACAACAGTACTAATAAAAACGTTGTTGTTGTTGTTGTTATTATTATTATTATTATTATTATTATTATTATTATTATTATTATTATTATTATTATTATTATTGACAAGTACTACTTTGACGGTTTTGATCTGATATGAAGTAATATAATGGTCCCTTTCGATTACTTTTGTCCAAGAATAAAACAATTGCTATGAATGGATCTATGGGCACTCACTAGGGAAGGTCAAATGGGGATCAAAATAAAATTTAACCTCACTTGATCCCCACTGTGGGGGATCACAATGTGAACGATCAAATGTGTAGGTTAAAAACAAGTCCTGAGCAAACTTTTGTGACTAACCAACTACAAAAGGCCACGTGGCTTCTCCTCCCCGTCAAAATAGCCACCAACCTCATCAAATATCTTCAACTCCCTAATTTCATTTATTATTCATTAAATTTAATTTATTGTTAAAAAAAAGTATACCAAAAAATTAGATTTGTTCCCCTCTATAAATAGACACCAATGAGAATATGTTTAATCACTTCGAAATTTACCACTTCTTTCTCTCGTGCATCTTATTTTATCTGTTTAGATTATTTTTCCTCTAAAAATGGATCCAACTCGTTCTCCACCTAAATACAATGACAACAATAAATAATTATAGTGGGTGAAATGTGAATTTTATAATCCTTTTCCAAATTATATAAATTAATAATGGTGGGGAATATATCAAAAATATGGAGAGTGTGATAGGTTAGAGGGGATTAAGTTTTTTGTGAAAAATGATGTGGAAGAGGGAAGAGGGGGTCAAAAGTTATCAACATTGTGGATGCTCTATGGGTGTCTTACTTTAATGGAAACATTGACAGATATATGAACAATGATTTCAATATATCTGTCTAAAATTAAAATGTGTATTTTCCATTGAATCATTCTTGGTGTACACGTTTTTATACCCATCAGTACACACATGTGTCTGTGAGAGTTTTTTTTGTCTGTGAAGCGCAGTCCACAGACAAAAGCTGGCTTGTTTTGTCTGTGGAAAATTTCACAGACAAAACAATCCAACTTATGTCTGTGGACTGCGCTTCACAGACAAAAAAAAACTCTCACAGACACATGCATGTACTGATGGGTATAAAAACGTGTACAAAAGGAATTATTCTTTTCCATTAGCTTGGAAAATAAACTGTTTAGATTTCATTTATAAACTCTATTTTTAAATTCATATTGAAATTTTGATAGAATGTCATTAATTACTAATAAGAAAATATAGATGTATGTAAACATACTCTAAAGATATAATAAAAGTTCAAAGCTATGTGATACAATATTATTAATTATACATCCACCATTTAAGTTTCGACATGTATTTAGTTTGTAACATTTTTTGTATGTCCGAAGTTTGTAACATCCACCATTTAAAATAAATACTATATTCACTCCATTTTATAATTCTTATTTTGATTTGACACAATTATATATAAATTAATTTGAGTATAATAAAATGAAATATTGTAGATCACATATTTTTTTCCAAATAAGAAAACATGACATTTATTTTGGGGCAGTCTCATAAAAAGAAAATAAGAAAAGTAAAATAAGATAATGAACTATCTATTTACCCCTCTATGGGCTTTATCGAAGGTAACAGGAAAATATAAATAAGTATTTGGAAATGTGTTCATCTTTGTATGTTTCATATATTATTTTTGGCAGGATTTATTGCTTTTGTAAAAACACCAGTCGAAGCAAAACATAAGTTTTGGTAAGGATTGTTTGAATCCAGAAAAACTTTGTTATTGTTTTAATTTCTCACTCATTAGCACTTAAGAATTGCTTATTTGAATACAACAAAATCATGCACTCATTTGTTTGGTGGAAAAACAGTGACCATACAGTTTTTCACCCCAAATTTCAAACTTGGATTTTCGTTTTAATTTCCAGCTCATCCGCCCGTTAGAAAAGTAACGGATACTGCCTAGTCGGCGTTCCCGGTCCCACATACAACGGTCAGATTTCTGTAATTCACACAAATCTGAAATATGACCGTTGAAGCCTCCCCCACCTTCTCCTCTGTTTCTGTATGCTAATCTCTGTATATATACGCATAATCCTCCCATTCTTTCCATCTCTATCCACTCTTTCCTTACTGTAAATCGTTCCATTCATTCACAAGAAATAGGCTCTCTAGACTAGACGATGGGTCTGCGAGAAGTCAACGAATCGAATTCCTCTGGGACCACCACTCACAAGGCATTCCTCTTCTGCAACTACGTCCTGCTTGGCGCAGCCTCCAGTTGCATCTTCCTCACCCTCTCCCTCCGCCTCTTCCCGTCCCTCACCGGGTTCTTCATCATCCTCCTCCACGCCCTGACCATCGGCGGCGCCGTCCTCGGCTGTGCCTCCGTCTCCTCGGATGACAGCGCCGCCAAACTCTATGGCACTCGCATGGCGGCCTCCGTCCTCACCGCCATCTTCCAGGGCTCCGTCTTCATCCTCATCTTCACGCGCACGGCAGACTTCCTCGGGAACCTCAAGTCGTACGTGAGGGAGGACGACGGCGCCGTGATTCTGAGGCTGGCCGGTGGGCTCTCCGCCCTCATCTTCTGCCTGGAGTGGGTGGCTCTGACCCTGGCCTTCATCTTGAAGTACAAGGCCGCCGTGGAAAGCGGCAGTGTGGCTCCGATGAGGAGCGTTCACGACGAGGAGGAGCTCAAGAACTGGCCCTGGCCATTCCAAGTCTAGTTTTTCAAAAAACGAGTTGCTATGTATTCATTCATTATATGTATTCAATTAAATTGCCATGTATTCATTCATTCGTTTTCCTTTGAGAGAGTTTGATATGTGAATGGGTTTTGTTTTGTTATATTCAATCAAATATTCTATGAACACTTTATGTCTGTATGTATCCGGTTCATGTGATTGGATGGAATCCTTCTAGTGTTGCTATATTTTGATGTTGTAAAGCTGTTGATCTCGCTTTGAGGAATGCAAAATTGAAATGAGATTTGAGCTACTCTTTTTATATAGATTCTGTCATCCTCATAATGTTCAGGAGGCATAGAAATGCAATAATCATGCCAGTTTTGCCAATTAACTGTCATCCTCATAATAATCATGCCAATTAACGAACGGGATATAATGCCGATGACAAAACCAACCAACCCATTGAATTTTCTCATTGAAAGCTCTCAGCTTGAAAGATCCCATAGGTAATAAATACTTCTTTCGTCCTTCTAACATTCTTTCATTTTTCCGTTTTGATCCATCCCCGCATTGTGTGATTTAAATGAGATCAACATTTAAATGAATTGTCCCACTTAAATGAATTAGATTTGAACCACACATTTAAATGTTTGTTCTCCATAACTAACATCACCTCCTCTTATATTATAGATAGAAGCAAATGAGTAGATAATGTTGATTCTTGAAATCATATTTATATAAATAAGTTTTACTTTAGTAATAAAACTTATTACTAAAATAAGTTTTATTTTAGTAATATTCTCGTAAAAAACCCTTCAAGATCTTTTCAAAAAGGAAATGGAAAAAATAGACATTCCCCAAAAAACAAGTGAGAAAATCTTATGGGATGTAGGAAGTACCTTTTATACATATGAATAAAAATGTGATTAATAAGTTAATATATTTGGAAAAACATGATATCACTGCCAGATTTTCAAGTCACTGGTTAATATCACAACCACATTTTCATGTTACTATCGATATCATTGTCATTGTGACCAGTGGAAAAAAATTCAACACCTATTTCTAGCGAATTTTGAAAAACACAAAAAAAAACCATTAATGTTTTTCGATGACTTTACCAGCGGCGACTGGCAACTGTTGGGATCGGGACAGAGATTTGAAAATAAATTGCCATAAGAAAAAAATACATTGATTAAAAAGAAGATTTGTCATATTTTTTTTTAAAAAAAAAAACTTGTCACTTTGTTGTATTTCACAAAGCCATATGTAATATTTAACTCTTTTTCCCTTCCACTTTTGAAGCTAGATAATAGAATTTTGCTCCTCTCCATTAATTGGAACTCTCCATTAGGAGAGAGATAGAGAGGGGTGGGGAAATGGTGGGTAGAGAAAGAAAAAAGATTATGTTTAATTTTTTTTTTAAGAAGAGAGATAGAGTGAAAAAGAAATGGAGAGGATCATGATCCTAGATAATAACGTGAAGTAGTTTTATGTCACGTTAGTTTCCACGCACAAAATCTGCAGGTTAATTTGGCGAGTTCCTTCTTTACAAAACTGTAGGGTGAATCATTTCACTCTTTTGAAACATATCCAATGAGATTTTTGAAAGAGGGGATATCATTCTTCCGGAGTAACAAATTAAAAGATAAAAGTTATGAATGAGTTGTAATTTAAT